AAATGTTACTTTGAAAAATGCCCCCCTATTTTTTTCTTATGAAAGGCTAAATAAAGCTAAACATTGCTGGTAATTTTTGGCAGTGTAACTACACAAACGGCGCCCCATACATGACTTAATGCAAGTTTTAATAAAATATATTCAGTGGTGTGTGCTTGTTATTACTTACAGTGGTGGTAATAAACAGTCAAACACTGACCTCTTGTGATAAAATTTACAAATGGCAGAATGTGAAAATTATTAGATTTTCTTTTCAAACTCATTTGCATTTTCCTGTTCAACGTAGATCAAATTGTTTGAATTAAAACAGCAACTCGAGTACACGCTCTGTCCCTGTTCCTCACATCCCTCTCACCGAGCCGCCGCTCTAATTTCACCTGGACGAGAACACGAATCGATCGCAGCGATGCTGTTCTGTTCACCGGCCGCGGCCTCGCTCCCACACAGGGCCTGGAATCAATGAGGCCAGAGTGGAACCTTCAGCGTCCTCCCAGAGCTGGACCCAATAGACCCTGACGGTTCTGAAGATTAATGAGGGGGAGCTTCTGCTGACGCCTCAAACACACGAGGCCAGCATGTTTRCAGTGACTGCACAACACCAGGAAGATCTGCCCTGATAAATCACACCGCCATGAGAGGAGAGGGAATCAAATAAAGCAGGACCGTGGTGTGAAGTTACAATACTTTTGTGTTTTAATAGGAATCTTATTGAACCCATGAGGCTAGATAGAAAGGTCTAGATCCAAAAACACACACACACACACAAAACAGCTAACCTGAAGTTTACACGGCCCAAATTTGTTGGTAATCTTTCATCTGATTAAGATAATTTACTTGAAAAAAACTCATTGCAAAGTCATGACAACTGGACGAGTTTTAGGTAGTGACCAAAAGATCGAGATTGCGGATACAAGTGACCGAAATGAGTTTCCTTAGAGATAGGGTGAGAAGCTCAGTCATCCAGGAGGGACTCAAAGTAGAGCCGCTGCTCCTCCACGTCGAGAGGAGCCAAGTGAGGTGGTTCATCTGGTYAGGATGCCTCCTGGACGCCTCCCTGGTGAGGTGTTCYGGGWAYGTCYCACTGGGAGGAGACCCAGGACAYGCTGGATGGACTATGTTGGGAAGTCTMGGTCTCTCTGCTTAGGCTGCTGCCCCCACRRCCCGACCCCGGATAAGAGGAAGACTTAATTAAATCATCACAAGAAAACCGTGGGGGAAAAAAAAAAAGATCTGCTGAACTCGCCCTCTCTCAGCTTCCCTACAAAAACAGGTGAAGTGACTGTTTGAGCTTAACGGCCGTATTTGTTTCAGCCTATCATGTGACTCAAACTTCCATGTGGGTTTTGGAGGATTCGGCTTTGTTTACATCAAGTGCAGACCCACATTTTAAAATAGCAAATCAATTTTGTGCACAGGTATCAACAGGTTTGTATGTCTGCTTTTATTATCACCAACTGCCTTACAGGTGTTATCGGGAGCCATTTAGATGTAGAATTAAAGTAAACTAGACATGGGTTTTTATGTTRTAAAAACAAGTGTGCATTGCCATGTAGCATGTACCTGCAGCAGTGCACTTGCAGAATGAACGGTGACCAAGTTCAAATGTGTTTTCTACACCAATTTGTGCTTGTCAAGTCAGCAGGTGTTTGTAATGAGGATAATTGTGCGACAATATGAAGTTTGAAGAGAATTTTTGTTAAAGTTGCAGTAGTTGGGTTTCAAACCCTGATCTCCCATATGAAAGCCCATGGCATTAACCATGAGACCATTGGTGCTGTGGCAGAGGGGATTGCCAGGAGTTGGTTTGTATGTGTGCAGAATGAGGCCACATCGCCAATGCAATTGTTGACACTAAACTGCAATATATTATAACAATAAAGCAATATTAGGACAATATGTAGCAAACCATCAAAATACTAATATATTAGTATTGTAAACACTGAACTACTGAGTTTAAATATTAAACTATGGTGCAGTACTGAGTAGGTACAGCAGGGGGCAGTATTGGACCAATACAAGGCTCCATTGACTGCCATTATAATTTATTAAACATTAATATTTCAAAAATTATAAGTTGTACAGGCAACAAAAGGCATAGCCATCATTTGGCACAGGAGCTTTACAGATATAAATTACAATGGCAGCTCTAGRACAARGTATGCAGGARGAGAAGCRTGBCAAAGTKGAGATGACTTGGATGGGAAACGAATCACAATAGTGTTCATTGCATTGGCAATGCACACTGATAAATAGCACTTCAGGAAATCCATAGCATTGTTTGGTTTAGAGTAATAAAGATTTTTTTATTTTCCTGTTTTGATTCTTGTGCTTAAGAGAAAAATATATTTAAAAAATAAAACATTTAACCCTCAACTTAGTTCATAAATATCCAAAGGGTGGATCCACTAAATAAACTGAAACGTAGTAATAAAAAAAGAACAGTAAAAAGGGGTTGTTTTCTTATTTTTCCTTTATTTTTTTTGTCCAGGTCTGGGACACAATGAGGTAAAAGACAGTAATAAATTATTCAGTTGCTTAGAAACACTTTGCAATAATCATATCAATAATACAAAAATTCTATCAAATACACATGATGCAACATTTTAAAATCAACATTTTTTTCCTTCCTTTTACAATGCAGTCTGCTCAATGATCAGAGTTTTGAGTTCTTTGGAGAAAAACAAAAAAACAAAAACAATGACTTAAGAGCAGATGTGGTTTCAAGTTGTAGTTTCTTCTGCTGCAGGTACATTTATATTCCATTCATTAAAATATTCATACACAAACATCCAGATGGAATAGTTTCTCTAATATCAGTTTAATTAACTTCTCATAATTCGTCTTACAATCAAGGCATCAGGCACACATCTCGAATCAGCCGTCTGCTCTGTTGATTTTACATTCAGATCAGTTTTACCATGCCTTTCTGCTCTAAGATTTGTACAAAAAAATAACATAAAGCATGCCAATAGGAAAAGTCAGATTGTATTAAAAGTGCAAAAATGTGTTGAAGAGTTGGTGTGCTTCCCGACAGGATGAAGACACCCACCAAAACTCCAAATCTGATAACAGTACGAGCCATTTATGTGTGCTGAATGTGATGTTGCTTCAAGCCTGAGGAGCGTCACACTGAACACAGGGCTACACGCTTCAGATCTTTTCCTCATCTTAAAAAAAAAAAAAAGGTAATCCTGAAGTCAACAGAAGAGGCAGAAAAGCCCCCGGATTGAAATAAAAGCGACAACACGTCGTTTTGGTTCGTGGACGACTTCTCCAGCCTGCTTCAGCTCGTCAGCCCTCATCTATTTATTAGAGTTTTAAAGAGGGTTCGTGTAGCACAGAAATCTCTTTAATCACAAATATGTATCATTTTTGCACACTTCAAGATACAGATAAATGGAAAGAAAGAAAATGCTCATTTTGTTCAGAAAAATAATAGTTTTGATCAATTTATCTCACCACTGACAATCACTGAAGATGCAACCACAATAAATCACAAATACTTCATAAGACAAAAAGTGGTTCGTTCATTTTTTTAATTAATTTTTTTTTATGAACTTGGCCCCTAACAAATCAGCGTCTTCTTCATCATCAGAACCATAAATCCTACTTTTCACATTCCTCTTCCAAACACGGTGCATGTTTTCTTCACTCACCATCTTCCCTTCCACAACCAGTGCCACCAAACCACCCCTCACCCGTCTAACGGTCACTTTAACTGGACTAAACCGCAACCTGGGCTCTTCTAAACAAAAGCTAGAGCAGTGAGGACAGAGACGGGATGAAAGCGGGATGTTTTCCATAAAACATGAGGCGCAGCTTCATACYAGCAATCCTCTTTCCCTTCTCTTGAGACAAGAAAATCTCTAGTTTTCTCCTTCAAAGCCATATTTTATATCAAATTCAGAAGCCAGACTTTAATGTAAAACAGAGTTGTTAGGCTTTAGAAGATGGAGGGCTGGGAAAAGCTGTGAGAGAAGCGGGTACAGCGCTCGTTCCAAGGCAGGTTGATGTCGGGGGGGTGATGCTTCAGAAGACCCCCGGCTGCTTTAGATGCATGAAGGTGTTCAATGACCCCCTTCCTCCTGTCCTTTTTGTGCTCCAGTAGGTAAACATTGCTGGGAAGTTCCCTGACATCCAAACAGGTACGTTCATGTGCATGTTGGTTTGAGTCTGTGTGTAAGAAACCCAAGAACACAAGGCGAGGTCACAATATGGCGCAGTGGAACCTGTGGGAACCCGTGGAACGCTCCGCGCGCCATTTCATCTTCTTTTTCTTCTTCTGGTTTCGCTCTGGAACCTGTTGTCTGAAAACAGGGGAGGAGTCGTTAGCAGAGCCACTTTCAAAGATTTTAATTATCACTGAATGATTTTTAGAAATTAAAAATTGTGCTGAAAAAAAATTTTTTTTAAGATAGGCCAGAAAATCTCCAACTCTTTTCCTTGAGATAAAACTAAAACTGAATATTTATTCAGTAAAAAACATTTACATCCCAACCATTAATGACGGGAATAAAACTGGCCACAAGAGGGCGATATTGATACACGCAGCAACTCTTTCCACCTCTCAGATACTCTTTAGATCCCCTTTTATCTGTATAATCCCCACCACTTTCAATCAACCTTACAATAAAAATAAATATGACCAAAGAATATGTACATAAACAAGAATTGTGAAATTTTAAAAAGCATTTTCTTTAAAATGACCAGTACATTTTCTCAGCACCACTAACATCTGGAGAAATAAAACACTAACAGAGCCATATCTACAGCTTGTATTAATTTGACAACATCTTAAAATCAGACCGCTCTTTTGTCCAACTGTCCTGACATGTTTAGTTAAGTTTTTACGGAAAGCTCTACACACAAAATWAAATAAATGCAAGGCTTTTAGTTACCGTATAACTCTGACCAACTCATGAAAGGCTTTGTCCACATTCATTGGGGGATCCTTGGCACTGGTTTCAATATAAGTTATCTGAGGAGACATGATGAAAATCCCAAAGTTCAACATTAGAATTTAAAGATTTGACAGCAGAAAAATAAGATTGTTCTTTATCACAACTGCAGCTCTTCACTGAACATGACCATGTGAACACATTTCCTATATGTCTGCATCACATCATTGGCTCMCTTATCGTTTTCCGATTTGAACGTTTTATTGCGGACAGAACTTACCCAAGAGTAAAGACGAACATAAAATAAGTACGACCGTGATGTGGCCTACAGATCACTTCAGTCTAATCTTTGTTCTTGTACTTTGCAGGTGAACCACATAAATACAGCAAATACTCGTAGCACTTAGCAACATGGCGGCCTTAACTCTCACCTAGCACACTAATGTAATACTAATGTTTTTTATTTAAGTTAAACCAACCGTCCCTACCAATAAAACAACTCCTGCTGTTCATCAGCCTCATCTTCAAAACCTCTTGTTTCTATTTGGCTTTTAATTTAATACAAGTTTAATTGTTTTGTCTCATTTCAATTATCTTTCGTGTCATTTTACCGTACATCTCCCCTGTTTTATGTACTGTGCTGTATAAGTAACCTTACTTRCATCAGTGTTTGTGAAACAAATCCTCAAGCAGTACCACTCAAGTCCAGTTTCAGTTGAAGAGGTTGCACGGAGTGGGTGATTACAAAGGATTAAATTAAATGTGTATGTTAAGGGAGCATAATAGTCAATTAATAAGCTCTACAAAGCTTAAGAGAATGTTAAAGACAAAAACACTTTGGGTTTTGAATATAACCAAGTTAAATAATATCTAATTAAAGCTGGAGTCCCCTACCTGTGTTTAATTTAACAGACTAATGATTTTAGCTGTGATACTTCATGCGTGAAGTAAAATTGCCTGACAATGAGCTTTGCTCAGCCCTCCTCATTCAGTATGGCAAGCCCTTTTAGCATAAAATCGAATTCACGACACTTCCATTCCAGATATCTGAAGTTGAGGTCATATTTGTTATTCAAGACATCTCAAATTATATTTTGACTAGTCAAAATACCTATTTGAGATATCTCTAATTACATTTTGACTTGTATAAATGACGTCAGATTTACCATTGAAGTCTATGGAGGCTTCAATTCAAGATACCTCAAAAGTAATTTTGACTAGTCAAAAATATAATTCGAGATATCTCTAAGTTAGTTTTGACTAGCCACTAGTTTGTTTTATTATTTAATTTTCATATATTTAGTATGATTGTGTTTTGTTTAGTTTTGTTCTGGTTTGGTTCCTTTTTTGTACAGATATCTTAAATTAACATTCCGGATAGTCAAAATGTAGTTATTCCTAATTAAAACTCATTTTAAGATATCTAGAATGTAATTACAGATAGTCAGACAACACTGATTTTATGCTAAAATGGCCTGCCATTGTACCTACCTCCCMTCACTGCTAACTAAGCTCAGAATGTGTGACTAATGTCTACAACCAGGATGAGACAGAGGGACRGTAAAAAGAACAGAGTCAACAAAGTTTGTGTTGCAGACAGTAACTTCAGCTGCAGTTTGCTGATCAATAAGCAGTATTTGTACATTTTAACATCAACCTGATCTGTGGTGGAAAAAATACTTTGCMATGCAGTGATAGATCATTTTTAATATGCAATATAACATTTTATTCATACCGCCCAGCACTAGCACAGGTGGCTTGTCATTTCTCTTATGTGAACAGCTACATCATCAGCTGAGGTAATTTCAATCCTCATCAACGCCACTACAGAAACAGTCAGCTTTAAAAACCTCACAATGAAACCACAAAATCCTGTGCAAGACACTGATTTGATGCTTAAAGCCGCTGAGATTTATCTGATGCGAATGAGCTTAAGTTCTGTAAACGTGCTTGTCAAAATAATTTTAAAAATCAATTGTTAAATCAGATTTTCAGATGTAAAAAAGGCAACTTGGTGTATTGGTAGGAAAACAACCTTTGCTCTGTGTGGTGCAGGTAAAAGATACATTTAAAAACCTTTGATTCACATTGTGTCTGGGACAAATGCTGCAGGAAAAATGTATTACTTACACTATGTTTTGCAGCCATCTCTTGACCCTGGTCTGATGTCACCTTTCTCAGGTGGACCAAGTCCACTTTGTTTGCAACCAGAACCATGGGGAAAGCCTCCCTGTGTGCAGAAAATTACACCTTTTTACACCCAAAAAAGAAGTTCCTGCATACTGCAGGTTCACAATTCAACTAAAGAACAGTTTATGACATCTGCATGTCTTCAAATGAATAAAAAGTGCCATTAAATAACCTCAGTGGTTCAAGTGTGCTTACATAACAGCATCAAGTCATAAAGAGCATTCTGTGCTGCAGAACTTATACAGGAGGTGTCAGAATTCAACACTTTAAAAAAAAAAGGCGTACAGTGTGAGCAACACCAAACACGGACAGACAGCAGTGGGCTCAGTTTGAGYTGCTATTTTTATTACATCTGAGCTGAACGTCAGAACAAACTCTCATAAATGAAATCCTCAACAAACCTGTTTCAGAGTCTGATATTGGAAATCTTGTGTGGTTTACAGCGAAGAACGATCTAAACCAACTCCCCACCAACAACAAATGCTGACTCAAAGCTGAAACCGACCAGACAGAGGAGCTGACGCAGCATTTTTTACGCCCCCTAAAGTTGACTGAATCYTAAATAAGTTTTATTTGCCACAAAAGCAATAAACTTACAAAACGGAAATACAAATATTTATTTGAGCTGCAAACAAATGTTCCATTTTATAAAATGCAAATGCTTGTTGTATGTGAGAGCGCCAGTTCCTCTTAACTCAGATGTCTTATATTTAAAGAGTGCAGTTTTTTTTTTTTTTTGCTGCAATGCTTGATGGCTTTTAGTCATCGTTGATGTGTTTTGTTTCAGCCCACTGATCTGGTTAGGATCAGTCAGACTGCAAAAATTAAGCAGAACCCCCCCGGTGTAATAGACCGTAAACCGTTGTGTGTTTTTATGTTAATATTTGACACTGAATCAGCTTAAAGGAAGTTCAAATTTAGTTTTTTGTGCAGCACAGAGCAAAACATTTAGACCACAACTAATTTCTTTATAGCTTGCTTTCAAAAAAGTCTGATTTCAGGCTTTCAGCTGATCTCAGCTATTTAAGAAACAGCACCCGGTYGGTGCTAAAATACAAGTTTTGTGAGATCAAATTGTTTTTGTGACAATTCAAATCTTCAGACTTCACRCACCCTCACAGTTTAGTGTCCCATCCCAGGACAAGTCATGCAGCCTGACTAAATCCTACCTGTCTTTGACCCGTAGTATGAGCTGATGGAATCGGTCCACGTGTTCGAAGCTGGCCTTGTCAGTGACGGAGAAGACGATGAGGAAGCCGTCTCCAGTCCTCATGTATTGCTCCCTCATGGCACTGAACTCCTCCTGACCGGCTGTGTCCAGCACTGAGGGGACAAAAATACACCAATCTTTATGTTGCAGCATTACTACTTTACATAATGAGCTGTTTAGCGTGCTTTAAAATATGAAGGGGTTTTCATAGATTTATGCTTAATGTATCACCAAGGCTCACCATCCAGTATCGCCCATTGTCCATCTATTTCAGTATGTTTAAGATACGAGTCCTCGATCGTAGGGTCGTAGTCCGGCACAAAGATTTTCTGGAAAAACTGGATGGTTAGCGCACTTTTCCCAACACCACCATCCCCCACCACGACCAGCTTGTATGTTGGCAGGTTGTCACTCGGCACGGCGCTGCTCGCCATGGCTAGCTCCACAGCGGTGGTGGTGAGAGCGGGAAGTTGACTCGAGGTCGCTGGCGAGAGACACCTGGGAGAAAAGGAGATCAGAGTGGGGATGAGCGAGAAGGGGATTGACAGAGGAGCAAGAACAATTTTTTTTCCTTGTTGCAGCYGCTTTCGACTGATTAAAGTGAGCGTTGGAGATAAAAGCAGACGATAAAATACACTGACTGGACCAACTAGAACAAGACGACACCATTTGAGAACTTACTAAAAGCAGACAGTAATTTAAAAGCTTGAAATAAAAATTTAAGCCCAACAAATGAAGTGACAATGATATTTTTTCTTGGCAAATATGCTTGAAATTAAATCATTTAAATATGGTGCTTCAGTTTCTCCTCAATATTACAAGAGCTTTGCTAAAGACTCTTTATTGGTCCTATTTTTCCCTGCAGAATCACAGTCTGAACAATCCTCAAATACATCTACACCAGCAGCATAAGTTTGGTATTTTAGCTGTTTTAACGTCCGTTTTCTTCTGGCTCAGCTCTCGCTTCACCACGACAGACCGGTACMACGCCCGCATCACTGCAGCACCAATCCACCTGTTGATCTCCCCAAGACCCCGAGATACTTAAACTCCTCCACTTGGGGCAGGACCTCCTCCCCGACCTGGAGAAGGCACCCTACCGTTTTCCGGCTCAAGACCATGGTCTCGGATTTGTGGACAATGATCCTCATCCTGGTCACTTCACACTCAAGCTACGAACCGCTCCAGTGAGAACTGGAGATCATGATCTGATGAAGCCAATAAGACCACATCATCCGCAAAAAGTTCTACCCAAAACAGTTAAGGTTGTAAAGTTTATTTTTCTGTTTCAGTGTTGCAGTTTTTGTTTTTTAGATGTACAAAAATCAGAGCAATTTTGCTTTTGCTTTGCTGGTAATCAATTCCAAAAACACCAAATGATGATTTTACCATTTACCCTGGACGGTGGCTGTAACCCTTAGAACTGCTAATGTATCTATATTTCAATGTACGATTTGGGGTGAGACCAGTGTCATCTTGTTTGTGGGTGGATAAAAAAAAAAACAAGTATAAATGTTAGAAAATAAAAATAAAACGCAAGGCAAGTATGCATCTCAGGTTGTGTGAGAATAAATGTTGTAAAGCAGCATAAAGTTGGAGAAATTCTAGAGGACACTTGCCGTAGAAGAGCAAAAAGGGAGGAAATTACTTCACGCAGTAAAAACTGAGTGAAAAGTGCTGTAAATTCTTGGTTAAAAAGGGAGGGTTGTCCTGTATTGCTGTGGTGCTTTGACCACAGCAATACACAATTCATCAAGACTAAACTATGTCAACTTTATAAGGAAAAAAAAAAGGAACTTAAGTTAATTTTAATCAGAAAACTACAAAACGCTGCTACTGCGAGGAACTTCCAGGAATTTAAGCAGCATTATTGTCTGAGTCACGGTGTGCTGAAAGCTGATCTACCAAGATATGAATCCTTTAAAGATAAAAGTAAATATTGTGAAAGTAACCACAGCCACAAAATGTTTCAGAATAAGAAACTAGAAGAATGACAGTCTCTGTCCTGGTTTAACGAAACAACCAGCAGAGAAAGATGACTGCAGCTTGTAATTATGGCTTTTTCAAAGTATAAATAAACATCCAGGCAGAACGTGAGACATTTAGCAGAAGAGTGTTTTTCTGCACAAGCGGGGAAATAAACCATCACCAATAACTCACATACCATCATCACTTACAGTGGGGAAAATAAGTATTTAGTCAGTCACCAATTGTGCAAGTTCTCCCACTTAAAAAGATGAGAGAGGCCTGTAATTGACATCATAGGTAGACCTCAACTATAAGAGACAAAATGTGAAAAAAAATTTGAGAAAATCATTTCGTCAGACTTTTAAAGATTTTTTTTGCAAATAATGGTGGAAAATAAGTATTTGGTCACCTACAAACAAGCAAGATTTCTGGCTGTCACAGACCTGTAACTTCTTTTTTGAGAGGCTCCTCTTTCCCCCACTCATTACCTGTATTGTATTAATGGCACCTGTTTGAAGTCGTTAACAGTATAAAAGACACCTACCCACAATCTCAAACAGTCACACTCCAAACTCCACTTTGGTGAAGACTAAAGAGTTGTCGGAGGACACCAGAAACCGAATTGCAGACC